TCGCCCGGCGGCGCCGTCCCGCCGCCCCAGCCGGTCGCGCGGGTCCGCCAGCGCGAAGAGGCGGAAGGTGAGCTCCAGCGCGGCGCCCGGCGGGCCCAGCGCCCAGGTGCAGTTCCTGTCCGGCCCGTACTCGTCGGGGAAGTCCGGGGAGTAGATGACGCCCTGCGGCGCGGTCCAGTTCCCCTGGCAGGAGCCCACGGACACTGCGGGCCGGCCGGGCGGTCAGGACTCCCACGCCAGCCGGGTTCTGCCCTGGCCGCGCAGGCCACGTCCGAGCGGCCCCTACCCGCAGGCCCGCCCCCAGGCCGGGCTCTGCACAGCCTTTGGATTCCTTCTCCGGCACCAGGTACTGCCCGCGACCTCCGGGTTCGACCCAGGCCCCATCTCAGGTTCTCCCAACCCTTCCCACAGGCGTGGACCTCAGACCTGTGAATCCCCTGCACAGGCCCCGCCCTTGGCCCCCAGTTCTGCGCGACCCCCCTTTCTAGCCATCTTCAATCTCAACCCCTTTTCTGGGATCGGCACATGGCGTGGTGGTTAAGGGTGCTGGACTCCCACATGCCTGACTGCGGTTCGAGTCCCAGTCCTAGCGGCTTGCTTTCTCAGTTTCCCTCTCTCTCACTCTGTCCCTCTCTTGTTAGATAGATAGATAGGAAGGAAGGAAGGAAGGAAAGAAGGAAGGAAGGAAGGAAGTTAAATAAAAGAATTCTTTTTTAAAAGTCTCAACCCCCTTTTTAGGCCCCAGCCCAGCATACAGCGTCCACTCTCAGATCGCGCCCCTGGTAGGGCATTGCCCGTGGTCCCACCCGACTGCTCCCCTCACACAGACCATCGCCCCCCCTCACCTTCGTAGATGCCCAGCCGCCCATCCCCACCGCACAGCTGGCCGGGGTGGCCGAAACAGATCTGGTCACAGTCGGTGGCGGGGGCTGGTCGTCCGCGGGCCAGGTCGCTCTCAGAGCCGCAGAAGCAGGCATAACCAGCCTCCACGCCGGCCAGCTGGGAGCACAGACTGGGTGATCCCAGGGGCAGGGGCTGGCTGGGGGTGGAGTGGTAGGGGACTGGGGTCGGGAGTGGGAATCGGGCTGGAGGTTCAGAAACCAGGGTCAAGGTTTGGCGTCAGGGTGTTCAGAGCTGGTGGCCTTCTGGGGTCAAGGTCAAAGGTCACTGGCCTGGGCTCTGGGCAGTACCTGGTAGCCCTTCATTCGGCAGAAGCGAAGGCACACCTGGACCGTGAGCTTTGTGGAGGTGCCACTGGGGCCGCTGAGGGCTGGGGGCGCCCCCGAGTCCACGAAGCAGCCCAGGTAGCCAGGCACTGAGGGGGCAGCGAGTAAGGCTGGCGCCTCCCACAGGGACCCTTGCCTGGGCCCTGCAGCTCGCCTGCCCCGTCCAGTCGGGCCTACTCACTGTGGCACGTGGGGATGTCACAATAGCGCCAGTAGATGCCCTCCTCCGTCTCAGCCACATAGCACCAGGGCTGCACGTCACCATCTGGGTTCCTGCCGGGGGGGCAAGGTGGTTGGAACCCAACTGCCCAAAAAGCAGCAGAGCAGCAAGTCCCAGGGCCTGCCCCCCATGGCTTGAATGCAAAGATGCCACCCAGGCATAATGCATGTTCGAGGCTCTGCTCCTCTCACTTCTCGCGCGCGCACGCACACACACACGCACACACACACACACACTCTGTGTGTGTGTATATATATATATAATTTGCTATTTACTATGGGGCACATGCCCTTGCCAGAGAGGGAGAGAGAGAAAGAAATGATAAAGCACCCCCCCAGGGGACTGCCACAGTCTGAGCTCGTATATGAGGACTTTGAGTCTATCCGTCGTCTTCACCTCACCCAGCCTTGGGCCTTGGCCACTTCCCTCACTTTAGAACCTGACTTTAGGGGCCAGCAGGTGGCATGGTGGTTAAGGGAGCTGAACTCCCACATGGCTGACCACAGTTTGAGTCTTAGACCTGGTGGCTTGCTTTCTCACTTTCCCTCCTTCTCACTCTGTCCCTTTCTGCTCAAGTTAAAATAAATAGATAAATAAATAAAGTTAAATAAAATAATGCTTAAAAATCAAAAGAGCCCGCCTTTAAAGAGCAAACGATGAGGGCCGGCAGGTGGCGGTGGTTATGGCACTGGACTCCTACATGGTCCACTGGGTTGGGTCCCAGACTTCATGGCTTGAAAATCACACTGGGCGCGTGTGCGTGAGAGCCCAAAATCCCCAGAGGAGACGAGAAGACGGGATTGCAGGGTGGCTATTCCCTCTCAGGAGTGATTTCTCTCCTTCTCTCTCTGTCTGGAAGAGCGCACGCTCCCTATGGCAAAACAAAACAAAACACCCCGAAACCAAAACAACAACAACAACAACAACAAAAAAAATCAAAACAGAAAAACGAAACGGTGAGCCCCAAACTTTCCAATAGCAGCGGAGTGTCCTCCCGCACTGCACTGTCTTTGCCGCTCCAGACAGCAGCTGTGACGGACGCCAATCCCCCATCAGTCCCCTCAAGGAACTTGTACCACCCAAAGAGCCTGCCCTCACTCCAGGGTCCCGCTCTGACAAGGTCCCACCCACACAAGCCCCTTGATCGCCTAGCCCAGGTCTTGCCCTCCTGGCCTGACCTGAGCCTCTGCAAATGTTGGGAACCGGTGCCCAAAGGATTGCGCTGCCGGGTTCCGCCCCCAACGCAACAGGCCCCGCCCCTA